GACGTCTGCCGCATAACAAATGGAAGTCACTTTGAACCATAAAATTCCAATGGACATAAAACTTGAAGTGTTTGACTACATTTCTATGTTCTGAAATTATATGTTTCTCCTATCAGTTCACCAATATCTCGCCCTCAAGTTGTAAAGCTACTTTTGAAACACGCTGTATAACTTAAAGTTCTGTACTATCACTATATTTGAAACTGTCAGCATATATAAAAAGCATTTCATACAAAAGCTGTATGCACACATGTGACCTATCTTCATATAAAATTTCATATCACTCACTTTAATGTTTCATAAGAGTTCACCATAGAAAATGAAGCTATACAGATTTGGTGAGACCAAATGTTTTTGTTTGATATTCTATAATCTGTGTATTTCTTAAGATACCTGACACATCAAATTCTAGAACCCTGCACTAAGTGGTTCCCCTTTCAGGAGTTCACATGAATATCAGACAGATGGTTTTCATAAGAAATTTCATTAAAATCTATCAGTTGGATCAAGAATTATTGTGGGCGGGACAGACACAAAGGCACAACTGAGATTTTCATGGCAATGTGGATGATAATTATGTTGTTCTGGATTCTAGCACTATGTGGATTTACCATTTAGGAGAGACACTGAAACGCAAACATCAATTAACAAGGCTAAGCAAAGTCTGGGTACAACATTAATAAAGTGGGGCAATTTTAGTCCTTCCAGCTCGGAGACCATGCACGTTCACAAAGGATTTAAATTATCACAATGACAGGAGCCCAAGTACACAGCTGCCAACCGCTAGCCAACAGAAAACTTGTCATTGTTCTGCCATGTTGGTATAAGATCAAACTAGCTGCAGCAACAGACCTTGAAACATTTACACTGGTCAAGTTTGTTCTTTCATATGACTGCTGACACAAGAACGAAACAAGATCTTTTAAGAGCTTCATGCCAGATAGTTAAGGATTTCAACATAGCACTGCCTAGTACAGTGGTACCCAACCTTTTGTGCCTACTGGCACATTTGAGAGTTTATGAGATCGTGGCGGGCACCAACCAATTAACAAAGCCAAATTTTCTTTTCTCTGGACAAATAAGATATGGACACCAAATAATACGCAAAACAACACGTTTAATGATACAAGACACCATGCAATCAAAAAAATGTAGTTTTATAAGTACAATTATTATTACTCAAGTGGGAAGTTAGTGTGATGTTTGGCACTGCATTTCATCGCCCAGTTTTTCAAATTTGGGTGTAGGATGATGATGCTGCTCGCAAACAATCGTCAAGGTGGGCATCAGTAAGCAGAGATCTGTGCTTTGATTCTATAATGTTCATAGTGGAACGGCCTTCATTATTCAGTATAACCTCTTTCCGTAACAACGCGGGCACCCAAAAAAAGGCTTGGCGGGCACCGCATTGGGGACCACTGGCCTTGTACATAAAAAAAGTAATGTTTGTCCCACTATACGCCATGTAGGCGTTTGGGGTGAGTGGAGGTATAGCTCCTCTCTTCCTTGACCTCGGCACTAGATGGGGGTGAGTGGTCAGCATCACGCCCCGGCAGGCTTTACCCCCGGGAAAGGACCCCGGTACCCATTGTAGAGGAGGCTGGGTGGGCCCCAGAGCCGGAAAAAAAAAGGGTTCTGTCGGTACTTGCTTGCTAAGATCCACTTTAACAGTGATTGACTGTGAGGAAGTAAATCCTCCCGCTTTCCATGTTTCAAGATCGACGAAACTGCTGCCAAAGATCCACACTGTGCAAACACTGGACTGTCAGAAGACACAATCCACTGAAATAAACATGCATTATATAATAAGGATGCGATATTAAAAACATCGGCACAAAATAGTGTTTAGTAAAACATTCAACTATGCAAAGAAAATTGGTAAAAATTATGTTCATGTAGATGTTCCAGAGGACCTTTTTGAAATCATGAAGGCTAGCTGCATGCATCTACAATCTACCTGGGTATCATCATTACCACCAACCAGGGCCGATGAGTCAGTACTAAACACTCCAACTCCTTCATGAGAGATCATTATGTATTAATAATGGTAAAAATACTAAAACGGTAAATGGTACCATAAAAGCTTTCATCACCACCATGTGAATCATCAGGCTACTTTTTAGACTTCTAACCTATATTTAAATATAAGTCTAATGGTTATTGCAGAAATCGGTTGATTTGTAGGCAGTTTTTATTGTTAAGGTACTGGTGCCAAAGTTACAAAGCATTATTCCCACACCATGTTGCTCAACGTGTCACTGAATCTCCCTAAGCGTGAGGCCGCCAGTGGCTCACACGGTAGCGAAAGTTTTACAATAGAATTTTCTTAAGATTTTATATCGAGGTCAGAGTCGAAGTCGGTACATTCTTACCGACCTGACTCCACCTAAAATTGCTTCGGACTCCACGACTCTGACTCCACAGCCCTGATACCAACACAAAACAAACTAATTTAAGTGAAACTCAGTATCAAGCATTATAATATAGTACTGTGTAGAAATTTGTATGGTCACATTTTATACATCTCTCTACTAGCAGTATGAATGAATTTCGATTTTGAAGCTCTGGTCTTTTAGAATCATGAAGTGCACCAGGCTAATGCAAAGCCTTTTACTATCTGTTTTTCACAGAAAAAATATTACAACATTCCATGACCAATAAAAATGGCAAACACCTGAAAATAACACCAAATTATTTCACTCAGTCTGAGGCAGTTAACAATAACACCGTGCAAGAGTGTCTCTGATAACATGGGCAATAACATAATCCACACTAACAATATACAGGTAACAGAACACACAACTGACATTCAGGCACAACATGGCTCCAGAAGAAGCATGCACAGGACAGGGCAAGAGGTGAATGTCTCAGTGGCAGCTCTCAGACTAGAAACTAATTCAAATCCTTTTGGCCACTGACTCCGAGTGGAGGTTTATAATATACGCTGCCTAGTAAAATAATTTTCCTTTAGGGAAGTGTTTTATAATGTTTGCATTTTGTTTGTTATTTAGTTTAGTTGAATCCATTTATTAACGTTGTTTGGATGTTGCTTCCTTAGTTTGAGTAGCAGAATAACTCTTAAATGGTCTGCAAGTACAGGGCAGGCTATGTACATTAGCAAGTAGGTTTAATAGGTTTAGATCACAGAAGGCATTTGTAGGGTCCAGAAAAGGATAGAGGGATTCTCTCGATTAGGACGTTCTTGAAGTGGCTACCATTTAATATTATTACAAGTTGTGTTCACTGCATCTATTTGACAACAGCAATACAAATAATTCAATACATTCTATTTTTAAAGTAAAGAAAATAAATCTTACAAGAAATGGATTTCTTGGCTCAAAAATTTTCACTTACATTGCATGCCCAGTCAAGGAACGCAGCTAGGTGAAGTTCCTTCACATGTGGCCGAGCCAGGAAGCGGGAAGACAAAAAGGCAGCAACAAGAAACAGGTCGCTACTAAGTGCATATATCTTGCATGCACTAAGAATCCTATTCAAAACAAAACACAGATAAATTACAGAACACAGTTCTCAGCCTTGATATAAATACCTACTAAGATGTAATCAAACAAAATGGAAATCCTGGAAAAAAAATGACTATGCCCCTGAAGACAAGATTGAAATGTACGATTGGTACCCAAAGGTACAAATATTTGATTGAAAAGTTGCTAGTAACATTCCAAAACCACACAAGAATCTTTATTATAAAAAAGAACCAAATACAGTATTAATACTTCTTACATACTATGACATTACGTTACCATGCAAAGGGAACCCAATATAAGAATGGGTAAGTGTCTGACCATCCCTGCAGGTCAGGTTTGAGATCAGCCAAATCCAGTGTGGATTTCTGCTTTTCCTAATTCCCAGTGAAGTAAAAACTGTGTATTAACTGTACATCTCTCTGCCAGCCATCACCATCATCATCTTAACACCATCCCACTGCAACCATAACCTCACCCTCTCCTTTATACTCAATGGTGGATTTACAACTAAAAGCTGCAGAAATGCAACTATTAATTTTGCTATGTCTATCTGTCTGTGTGTGTTTAACAACGAAGAATATATGATCTGAAGCTTTCACAGCGATGAAGAAATAAAATAATTTAAAAATCACACCAATCTATTCTTGCCCATCTTAAAATCAGAAAGGAGCAGCGATGGATAGGGAGACTTTGGAAACTGGTTCCACAAGCATTTTATTCTAAAAGGTCAGCCTTTCCTAAGACACAGATGCTGCCACACCATGCCCCTTCGTATACAACAGAGAATGTTCTGACTTCTAATGATCGCCTCATTGTTGTAAAGCTTTTGCCTCAAAATGCCAGAGATATTACATAGCCCATAGACCAAGTACCAACTGTGTCCATGAAATGATGCTACCAGTGTTGTAAAGGAAAAAGACCATGCTTGATGTCACCCCTCAAGAATTGTTTCCTGTAATGCTAGTTTGATAATGGAAAAATCTTCTTCCAGGTTTTTCTTAAGAAGAAATCAAGTTCAGAATTCTTGATATGGTACATGCTTTGAAAACAGTTGATGAAAATAATGTTGCAAAATGGCTAAATGACATGTGAACTGGGCTTCCTTAACATAACATACAAGGGCATCACTAATTCTGCCACAAAACAAAAGGAAGAGGAGGAGAGTGGGGTTGATGACAGTGAAGAGGAAGGACAAAGTACAGGGTACATCAGTCACAGTGTGTTCACTCTATAAGACTATGTGAGTCAGAGGTGGTTTGAGTACAGCAACATTACAGCCACCATGAAAATTCATATTGCTGTGAGGAATCTAAACAGCTTACTAGCACAAGATACCGTTACACACTACTTCTCAATATAAACATGTCACATGAAACAATTCCAAAGTATTTATAATGCTTCATGTATGAATCAAACAAAATATCTTTGATTATCCATGTTTTTCAATTATTCAAACATCTGCTCTAGTTCATCAACCTGGACAGTTGGGAGTTTACTGTATTTAAGGTCAGAATTCAGAGGTAATACATTTGGTCACCATACTGTAAAGTTGTTCCCACAGTCCAAGATGACTTTATGCTCAAATATAGTTAAGAAATGGTGGTATCTGATGAATCAGTACATAACCTAAAAAACCGAGGTACTCTGTAAATTATTCATGTCTTAAGTACACCAAACATTATAAAACACACACGTACCTTTCCATGACAGTTTTTCGGCGTTCATTCCCGAGGTCCTCTGGTTTAAAACTGTCTAATCGAGACATGTGGAATGGAATCATAACAATAATGGACAACCACAGCAACAAGACATAACGTGTCTGCCAAGTTGCATTGTCAGAAGGATTCTGAATTTCTAGAAGTTGAAGAACGGGCTCAATATCTGATACCTACATATCAACATAAAATTTGAAATAAATGTTTTAGATAAGTAAATTTATAATGCACTTGTGTCAACTTGATAGTAATTTTCCAAGAAACCACTTCCGCAACGCTAAACAAGTCTTACCTCGTGTGGTAGATGCCTAACTACTACTTTGTAGCCTCTGACCTTCATTATCACATACAGATATTTGAAAGTAGCGTGTTTTAATTCTATAGAAGCGTCTCTACAGCGTACAATGCAAATTAATTTGTCTAAAATATTGTCGAGATGGGGGTCCAACAAGTGGGGTTGTTCTTGATATTGATTCATAATGTACGTAAAACGTTCGTAAGCGCGTTCTACAGATATTTCTGACGAATATATTGTCCTTAGATTTTCTATCATGTTTATCACTTCTTGAAGTTCTGAAAACATTTCTAGTGCACAACCCAATCCTATATTTTCATCACAATTACTTTCATCCACAACACCGTCAGCAGCCATTTTGCCACAAAGAAAACGTACAACAGAGCGCAAAGTTGGTATTATGGGTATTGGATTATAAGCAGGAATCAAGCACAAATAAGGTACGTTAAGGGAATGTGGCCACTGTTTCTGCTTTCACAGATTACTAAAGAAATCCCCACAAATACGTCACTCACCGACCAAGTTGTGTCGCCAACTGTGCGGCACAGCTTATTGTCAGATGGCGTTTATAAAAAATTGTCAGTGGAACCACGGTTCCGGAGAATCTGATGTAAATACGTCTCTGTATTTAAATTATATTTAAGCAATAAATACAATGAAAGGAAGGTAGCTGAATTTAGTGAAAAGTAAGGAAACGTAATGAAATGAAATGTCAAAATTATCTAGTCTACGACGCACTTCTTCTACAAGCGATTCACAGCTCGTCTATTTCCGCAATAACGAAAGCGGATTGTTGATGGCAGTAATGTAACACAACAATGCCGAGTAAACAGATGACGTTTATTAGGTAACAACATTGTACGCAGGTGTTGGTTCGGTCATATATCCTCCCTTTTCAACTTCTTACCCTCAAGTAGTCGCGACGAGTTTTCCGTAGATGGCAGCAGTAGTCTGTATCGTAGATCTTTCCATCAGGAACGTTTCCTTCGGTAGCTCGTACGCCAGTCATGATGGCGCATATTTTGAAATTCCAAGAATAATTTTCAGGAATCGTGCCTTGACGTTTTTCAGACTTACGTTGGGCCATGCGATTTCGATTCCATAGGTTAGCAGTGGGACAATTTTAGCTTCGATTTGTCTTACAGCAGCTTCAAGGCTAAGTTGTCTTAGATTTTTTTAATTCGAACATCCCTTTGGTAGCTGAGATGGCTCTCTCTTTAATGTGGATCCGGTAGGACTTCGTTGTACTCGTAGTCTGCAGTGTTACTCCCAGGTACTTAAATGCATTAGTGACTTTCAATGGTTCCTGTTTGAAGTATACTGTGTCTTCCGCAGTCTTCCTTCATCCTCTCCTGAATACCATCCGTATCGTCTTTTCTTCGTTCATTTGGAGCCTGTTTTGTTCCGCCCAGGTTACTAGTCAGTTGAATGTTTCCTGCAAGTCGCTTTTCTTCGTCGAGCCTAGGTCCATATCGTCAGCGTAGATATATAGCGACGTTGCGGGTAGACATACTTTCGTGATGCCGGCCGTAGCGACGTTGAATAAGAGTGGGCTTACTGGATCCCCTTGGAATACCCCTCTGGTTCGTATGATTTCTTTTGATGTCGTTACGGTGTCGTCGTTTCTGATCAGGTTGTGGGTCAGGACGGATGTTCCTTTATCCAGTCCTAACTTTTCCAGCTTTCCAGCGAGTATCTGTCTGGTTTGCACTGTCGAAGGCTTTTGTGTAGTCAATGAAAACTGTGTAGTACTTTTGTTTTGGGGTTCGGAGTGACTCGTTGTCGTTTAGCAGGCTTTCTATTGCTTGTAGGCAGGAGCGGTCTCTTCTAAACCCAAACTCCTGTTGAGGGATTTGTGGGTCGGCTATTTTCGTGCTTCTTTTTGTTAGTATGGTTGTCAGCAGTTTGAATGAGCTATTTTCTAGGGCTATCCCCCTGTAAGAGTTGGGGTCGTCAGTGTTACCCTTGCATTTGTATAGCAAATCTATAAATAATTGATGTACGGTTCCACTGAACTCCCATTTTTTCTCTAGTATCGGACGAATGCAAAAGATCTGATTAATTAATGATCTGTTTCGTCTGAACCCACACTGATGATCCCCAATAATTTGATTCAAATATGGAGTTAATCTTGCCAGAATGTTTGATAGAATTTTTATGAGGTTGATAGCAGAGAAATTCCTCGGTAATTACCACACTCAGTCTTGTCCCCCTTCTTATGAATAGGAATAATTATGGATTCCTTCCATTGTTGTGGCATCTCTTCCTTATCCCAAATTAACTGAATAAGCTTATAAATCTTCGTATGAAAACTTCTTGCCATTTGCTTTGATTAATTTTTCTGGAATTTGATCAGTCCCTGAAGATTCATAACTTTTCAACGTTTTAGTGGCTAGTTAAATTTCGTCTAAACTAGATTCTGACACTAACAGTTCAGCCGTGTGTATTTTAATCTAATATCATCAGCCCCATGAACATTTAAGAGCTGGTTAAAAAAATTTTTCCACCTATTCAAAATTTTAATTGGATCTGCTAGTAAGTTGCCATTATCATCCGATCCAAATTAGTCTGAGGTTGATATCCTTTCTTAAAATCATTTATGCACAGACTGAAGGTTTAGAAGGAAAACAGCATGAACACTTCAAATCTTACAAGTGCCTATAAATTGATAATTTTTAACTGAGTCACGGAATGGTCGAAAGAAATTTGTGTTTCTGTCATCAATGTAACAAGCCTTTCCACGGATACTAAAATACTTTAATTTTGCAATATTCGGATTTTACTACCATGACTAGTGGATAGTATTGACTTAAATGCACTTTTGATTTGATCCACTTGAAAACGACCGTACAGCCAGTTTCAAAACATGGAATCCAGGTAAAGTCGAAATAATTTTTTTAGCTTCGATGTTGTAGAATTTGAGGTTTTCACGGCCATGTTGTTATTTTATAAACAAAGTATTACATCAACAAAGTTCTCTATTTTCCAAAAATCTATAACGATTACCCTACTGCAAGTGGCGCCAGTGTCGATTTCCCCTATCAATTTTATTCATCCGCCAAGATGATATTTCCGGTTTTAGGGAATTTAAAAATACGATTTTATGGTCGTCCCCAATGGCATAACGTCAATACCAAATTTTATCCAAATCCGTACAGCTGTTTTCGAGTTTAACATACGTACAGACAAACATGATCAGCCCTTTGTGCGTTTATTTCAAGCGCATCATACAAAGAACGCACATGTAGTAAAGCAAATTATTTGTCGAACGTTACAATGAAAATACAGTGGTTTGTTTAATTACGGGACAGAGTGAAAGGGTTCATCTGACAAAACGCTTCGTTTATAAATATCATCTGGCCGCGACTGTGCGGTCACCATAATGGAGTTCGAGTTACAAACCCCCCACCCCCTCATTCCCCGCGCTTAGTTGGGATGACTGGTTCGCACGTGCGCCGCCAGTGTCGCGGCACCCCTCAATACAGCGACACACATTCAGCAGTAGTCAGTCAGCCCGTGAGGTCTCGGCGAAATTGTGAAGCCAGTCGAGATTCCATCTCGCGTAAGAGATTCTCTACACGATTCATGTAAGTACAAAATCTGTTTGAGTTACTTTATCGCAAACACGCACCACTTTTTGAGAAATTCAAGTTGCCTCGTTAATTATATGGTCACACGTAATGAGAGAAAAGCATCAGTAACATAAATGTTCTGCGTTCAGTTTCGTATGTTGAAATGAAGTTCACGTAAAATCGGTCATTAAAAAAATGTATGTGCAAAAATCATAGTTACAGGCAGGCTTAAACACTATTAACTAACAAAAAGAAAACATCTGTTTGTAAACCTTAGCCCAACTCTTTGCAGCCGAAGCTCATCTGAATACTATTTACGAATTAACGCAATTGATTACCGCAAAGGAAACACAACGCTTCACCATTCCAAATATCAATCGCTTTATGTTCCTGAGAGAAATAATCGGTAATTATTCTGAAAAGTACACGAAACCCATAAATCCACTTTTTGGCCAAAATGCAAAATTATTGATTGCTAAAGCAGGTGGCATATATAGTTACCACTAGGCTTTAGAGGCTCAAAAGCGCAATACTGTGGTCAGCGCAGTGTTTTATTGATGAATAAATTAGTTACCTGCACGATGTGGGTTCTTTCAAATCTTCACCGTAGCCAGGAAACTTCAGTGTAAATTTATACACAACGGCACTATAAAGCACAAACAAATAGGACACTTTCTTTATCAAAGATCTAAATCACTGTTTCGTACCGTCTGATAATTTACCTCTTTCGTAACATTTATATTATTTTAAACATAATTAGTATTTTACATAATTATGTGGCTATCATTTGAGAAGTTCTAAGATAAACTATGACAAACTGACAGATATGTCCTAAATCAAACAAAGCATTGGCCTGGTATACTGATTTTATATATTCAAATCCTAATAGTATTATATTAATTAAAAAACTTGGTAATAAAAACTCCAACATTATGACATAATTCTCGTAAAAATATATTCCATCTGTTGCCCAGTAAGTAAATTAATTTATAATTCATCCGGTATAGTTCCGGAACGAAAAAAAAAATGGCTTTCACAAGATTTTCCATTACCGCCAAATTACAGACACGCAATTATTTAAAAAATGTTTCAAATTAGTTTCATTACTCGTACGTTCATGACGTAGTCTGCAGAGATTCTCGGAACAATGATTTTCAATACAAAGGCCTATGAAGTTCGGTCCATGGACCACGGTCGTGTATGGATTGTTTCTAGACACTAAAGTGAGGTAAAGTATTTAAAGAAGATGACGTAAAGTTCCTACGGCCACGCTTTACCCCCGGGAAAGGACCATCGGTGGGCTCCAGACCGGTGTGGACGCAGAGGACAGAAGAAAAATCCTCCGTCGGGGACCGAACCCCGATCGGCCAGCCCGTAGCCAGAGCTACCCAGCTCATGTTTCTGGACAGAGTAGCCTTAACAAAACCTCATAAGCATAAATCATATGAGTTAGGTATCAAGGACCAGTAATTTTTTAAATTTGCTATAGAAAATGTTCTATACTGCTAAAATAAAGCTTTCTCGAAACTGGCATCCGGGAGAAACTGATGTTGAGGACAGGGATACAACAGTCAGCGTTTGCGGTACTTCCAGAAAAAACCAAACTTTAGTAAAATCAACATTATTTAAAATAAATAATTCTTTTTAGTTTTATTGCTCGCTTTAAAATACGCCAATACAAATGTATATAAGAAAACCAGGAATAATGTGAATTGAATCGAAAACACCAGATTCTGATCTAATCAACCCTGATTAGACAAAAGAAAGTGTTATAAAAGCACAGCATCAGTAAGAGAAGCAAATCAAAACTACATTCAAGCAGGAATTAAAAAAAACAGTTGAAATTCTACCACTCAATTAACAATTTTTTATCTTACCCATTTCCTAACCAACAATTAAAATATGTATCATTTGCATGCGGCTACGTCACAATGACGTAATGGGAAGAAAATTTGGAGTCAAGAGGGTATGAGCAGGTCAAAGGAAGGTGTGGGAGACAAAATTAAAAGCTTCAAAGTTGCATCTCTATTTACTCTGTATTGTTGTGTTGGTATATTGCCTTCAACAATTCCCTTTCGTTATTACTCATTGTATTTTAACAGAACAATACGTCTTTATCGAATGATACATCGAAGATTGGCAAGGGTGGAGTTGGACGTAGAAAGTTTACTGACCAAGAACAGTTGGCCTCTGAACAGCGACGTAAAGAACTAAAACATCAGACCTTTGAACAGCGACGTAAAGAAGTAAAATATCAGATAGAGAAAGCGATCAGGAAGGAGCGCGTTGCTCTAGTTATTATAAAAATTCGAAGATCATGACATATAGGAAGGGTGAGATTAGCGAGATATGTAACATGAGAAACAAAAATTACTAATCTCAAACAGCAGTTTTGGGATCTAGATGTAGTTGGAGACGAATAGTATTAAAAAGGAGCTATAATAAAAATGTATGAGGGTGTTGACTAGATTCAACTGGCTCAGGACATGGTGAATGACCGTCTTACGTGAAGACAAACTGAATTTCTTCGTCAGCTGACAAACAAAGGATATAGTAGAACGAAGCGGTCCTGACCTAATTTAAGGTACCATCCCTGAATGTACCTGGAATGGCTGAGGAAACCCACGGAACGCCTTAGTTATGATAGCGGGTCTCTAGGTCGAGATCTGAACTCGGGGGAGAGGAAACTGATATGTTAACTACTCGGCCGTGATTTCGGTTACGAGTCCCTGAAGATGGAGGTAAATACAGTATTCCAAACGTTGGAATGCACCCCGCATTGACACAGTTTTCGTTCCAAGAGACGTCAGTGGACCTGGGGGAGATTTACAATAAGCTTAAATACGATTTCCATATCCTGGTCGAATGCCAATTTTATGGCGAGTTACGTCCTACTTTGCATGTTTACG